TCCAAATGATTTTTGATATTTCATTAAATTTTTAGATATTTAAATTTAAATATTTTTCCTCACAAAAAATTAATTCAAAAAATATTTTGCACTTGGACAGATAGGAGCTTTTTACGCTCCTGAAAATAATCTATGTCATAAAAATCTTAAATTTTTTTTAAATTAAAAAAATATTTAACATAATAAAATTTCTTGCATTTTCGGATACAAACTAAGACCATTATGTTTAAGAAATCGATTTTTTTATTAAAAACAAAAATAAATCACAGTACAATATTTTGTAAGACGTTTTTGTTGCAATTTTTACGCATTTCAGCACATAATTTTTTCAAAATTTCCATAAAAACTTCAAAAAATTCTCAATATCCCAAAATTTATATTTTCCCTGACTTAAGCCATAAAGCGCATTCTAACTGAAAAATTTTTAAAATTTTTTTTTGGAAAAATTCAAAACTTTTGTAATAAAATTCCACATTTTATCAAATGTTTTTTAGTTGTAAATTAGGAAAAAAAAGTCGAAAACCCCGTAGCTATTATAATTTCTGCTTTAAACAAATCGAAGAATTGGAAAACTCATTTTCCCATGCCTTAGCTGCTGATAATCAGTAAAGTAAAAACTTACCGCTATCCAAATTATCACTGTTATATACGCATAAAAATACGCACACAACCACTTACAATGCTGTTATTTTTTAATTTCCACATAAATAAATTCCCACAAATTAGTTTTCCCATTTGCCCAGTTTTTCGATGCGTAAATCAGTTAAAAAGTCATTTTGAATTGAATCTCCCTCAGGTGCTAATTAATTAAAAGTTGCTTTGTTAGCGCTTATTTGGTTAAGAAATTTCAAATCAGCTTCAGCAAACATATACACATGCACGAATTTGTATGCATAAATAATAAGCACAAAAATGATTCATTCACTCGCTAATGAATGTATGTATGTATGTGAGTGTAAAAAATACATATGTAAATATTATTGTATTTATTTTTATTTTAATAAATTTAAAAAGAAACGAATTTAAATAAATCAAGTCCAACACGTTTTAGCCTAAAGTTAATGTAAGCAACTGCGGGCCAAATCTAATCACAAATCACTCTAATCACTTTCAAGCCCATACATAAATACATACATATGCCAGACGTCTGTAATGTATTCAGCCTTTATCGATGTCTAAAAATATAATATTTAACTCATTTCCATACTGCTTTCGAAGGAATACGTTTTTTAACAGTACTGCGTTTATTTAATAAGCACACTTAGGAAGTTGGTACTAACAAGCAGATAAAGGCGTAACTAGAAGGTGTGTTTAACTACAAATGTGGATTTTAGCTATTGCATGTATACGTGTATGTAGGAGATAAGATTATAAAAAAGAAGAAAATTTCACATAAAAACGTGATATTTTCCACTTCACGTTATTTATTAGACCGCTAAAATTTTATGTCTTAAAATTTTTTATGTCTTAACAATTTTTATGTCATACCAATTTTTATGTCTTGACATATCCTGCCATTTTTTTTTATCTATTTAACTCTTTTATTTGCTAATTTTAGCTAGAATCGCACTATAAGCAGCGACCTAATAGACCATTCAGGCTTAAATACAGTCATGAGCAATCAAGCATATAACACATTTGCATAAATATCTGCATAAGTATACATATACGCAGATGTACATATATATTATATGTATGTATATCTAGTCTATGCAAACTTAACCACAACCAATTTAAACATTTAAACAACTCCGTGCCTTTGCATGCCTAACAGCATTTTGAATATGAATTGGTTATTAATTTTTTACGGTGATGTTTACATTTATATTTTACAAATGCTAATTATGCTGAAAGGAAGCCAGGCACAGCATATATGTATGCGTGATGGAGATAAAATATCTATGTATATGTATGTGTAGTAAAAATCATAGAAAGTCAATAAGCTAAAATTATATATTTACATTTACATACATGCATGTGTATGTAGGTTCATTCATGCGAAATACATACATATGTACGTACTTGCACATAGGCGTAAATATTGTATATGCATATATTATGCTATGACATGTATCATGAAAAGTCATTAGGCAACTGAATGAAAACATAATACCCATTCAATAATGTTAATTACTAGTAATTAGTTGCTGTATTTGTTTTGTTTATTTATCAGGAAAATAGATATGAAGTCTAAAATTTTAATTATAACATCAACTTTGTCGACGTCAAGATAAATGAACAAAAATTTTGAAATAACTAAAGAAATGCGAATTTTTTTCCATAAATTCGAAGCAAAAATCTCACTGAAAGAAAAGAATCAAAAATTATAGAACCATACTAATGTTAGAAATAATAATAACTATGCCTTGGTTGCCATACTGAGTGAAATAGCCATCAGCGATAAGGCATATAAAAAAATAATATTTTTAAAAAAATGTTTCTAATGAAAAAAATAATGTTTACATAATGATTATTTCAACTGGGCAATTGAAAAAAAAAATTATTATATGCTTATTCCTATATTTTTATTTTATTTTTGTTGGTAGCCTTCGTAAACATTTTACTCATCACCATTAACAAACAAATAAAGATTATTATTTTCTACTATTATCATTTACATTGTGCAAAATAAATATGTCTTTTTATTGTAATTTTTTTTTAGTTACTAATGAATGTCCGGCAATATAATATTTTATACGCCGCCACCGCAGAAAATATACTAAATAAATAAGAATTGATTGCAATAATAATAAATTTTTTATCTACTTATAAGGAAATGTTATTTATGTATTTATAATCGATTACTTTTATTTAAAAAATAAATTAATGTTTTCTGAATGATACGTGTGTGTGTGTAAATGTAATAAATTTATCTAGTTCACAGAGCTGAACAAGCGCCTTTATAAATCTGAAAAATATGTACATACGTACATACATATAGTCTCCACAAATTTATCTTGTGCTATCACTTTATTAGCTAACATTTATTATTATTTCCACGAGCTTTCAGCTTTACAGTCAGCTATAAAAGTATGAGCACCATATGTATGTACATATATTTATATATATGTGTCTAGAATTTTTTTTTCCATTAATAAAATATGCGAATATCTGATAAAAGTAGTGTAGTATTGTAAAATGCTGTTTTACTACATCTACATATATACATATATGTGTATATTTTACTTATTGTTCATACTGTTACACAGCAGTTGCGCATTTATTTACTTGTATTTAGCTATTCATGTGCTTACATTTATCGCGTTTAGTGCCTCATAAAATTGTTGATTTAGTTTTCGCCTTCTTTACCACATTATATTTATTACCAAGTTCTATGAGTATTTTTTACAATTTGAAAAAATAGCGTCATTTTCATTGCACTTTCTCATTTTGTGTGACAGCAGACAGTTACATGAGCATACAAAAAATTGATTCCGTTGTTTTGACATTAAACATTTTTTCTTACGATAAATTTAATCAACTTCAAACTCGTTAATAGATTAATCAATGACTGAGAAATATAATATGTATGTAAATTTGTGTATTTTTACACAACAATCATTAATCTGCAATTATTTTGCTGATATGCAGCAGTCTGTTTGATATTTGTCATTATAATAATCGAAATTATCATCACCAAAACAACCTCCTTTGACGTTTACACGCAGTTTGTGAGCCACAGTTTGTGAGCCACTCGCATTAATACTGGCATGAATGGCCTTGCCGTCGATCGATGTAATGGACGCGCTCCATATATTATTATCTTAATACGTCGAGTACGTCAGGTGTTTGTATGAATATATCTTTGATCGCACTTTTTTTAAACGATTGTATGATGTGTTAAGTGCTGCGGTCAGGTGATATGGAATGTTATAAACATGCTTATAATTTGACTTGATTTTAAGTGGCCGATAAATGTATGTATGTATGTGTGTGCATGCATAAGTGATTGAAGAAATTTTTTTCTTATAAAAACAACAGGGAAATACTCAGACACATAATCGCTTGTCAGCAGCGAGCGCGCAAAGATCAAAGTGAGTGAACGCCGAAACGCTAAAAGCCATAAATTCACTTTCGATTCAATGCAATGTGGCTTAAAAGTATTTACCGTTTGATAAACAAAACAAAAAGTTTTGAAGAAATAATTATGACTCGCGCCAATATGTTTGCAGATTTTTTATCAATTAGCTATAAGCTGGTTTTTTTTTTTTGTTTAACAAATTCTGTGGTTTAATTAGTTTTTAATGCAAAGAATTGCCATAAATTGTTTTATTTTTAGTATTTTTCGATAAACAAAATATTATGTATTGCACATTGTTGAAACATATTAAATTATGATTTCATGTAGGACATATTTACAGGCATACATATAAAAAAAAAGTAGAAAAATTTATTTAGTTTATTATCTTCCAAGCGCTTTTTTGTTTTCAATTTATTGTTTCATGTTGAGCAGCGAAATTTCTTCCGTAAATTCATCGAAATATTTGCGATTGACAAGTTAATGACATTTCTCTTCAGCGCCAGTGGCGCTCATGAGTATTGTTCAACAGCCAAAATTAAGAAGTTGGCCATCAAAGTGTTGACATGAAAGCAGTAATCGATTTCCCCGATTTCACAATTTCAATGCTTACTTATGCAATTAATAAAACTATCAATAAAGTACCCCTCAAATGAGCTTGTAATAAACTGTCAAATTAAAAACCACAGATAGGAGAGTCTTCCTTGCAGTATCAGAGCAGCAGTGAAAGAAGTAGCAAACCACTGTAAATGATTTGCTATGCTTGAGATCGGAACAAGAAGAAATGTGGTATGTCGCAGAAAAAGGTCTCAGCTGATCAATTAAAATAGAGCTTATTTCAAGTCTATAGATAGAAATGCCGCTCACGTCACGTGGCATTAATGTGTACCCTACATTTTCACTTAATCATGCAAGCCGCAAAAGATCAGTTAATCTGTTGCAAATTCTATTCAATAAACAGTAAATACCGTACTCTACTCACCATTATTGGGCTTCTGTGGCAGCTCCGACTGCTCGATGCCACGCGAGAGGAAGACGTGCGAAACAGATGTACAATTGGGACTGAATTGATCCAATATCGACGAGCCACCACTCGATCCAGCGCCAGCACCCGGCGAAGCTAAAGCAGCGGTATGTGGCAGGGAAGGACTGTTTGAGTCACCGGAGCTCTGCTGTGCCTGCACCAGGGTGGCGCTACAGCAGAGCAATAGAATGAGATATGACGATGCTGATAAGCTACGCCAACGTTTGCCGGCTACTGGCGAGCTACATTTCTGCATGCTTTTGTCGGAGATCATCGTTTTCTTTGTAACGCGCAAAGTTCTACTAAATTGCTTCATAGCTTGGTTCGCTGGCACGTGAGAGAAAATCACAAATCGCTTAAAAGAGGGTTTTGTGTCTGGGTATGTTTGACTGTGTGTCTTGCTAACAATTTCTTTTTTCACTACTATATTTGTTTAATGTGTTTTTTTTTTTTTTTTTTTTTGGTTTCTCACTTTTGTCGTTTTATCTCCTGGTGACTGCTTGTCTATATTTGCAAATGCTGTTAACACACTCACACACACGCACAGCACACGCCGCTTGCCGATATAGACGACAAATGACACCCTCAGCTAAAGTACGCTAATTGTTTTTGCTTTATATTGACACTCACTTTGTTGTTGTTGTTGTTGTTGTTATTGTGAATTTTGCATCATTATTTACAAATATGTAATATTCATGTATATACAATTGTATGTGCGTATAGAGAAGTCCGTATGTACTTAAACTGCCGGCTGTCTCGCTGTCGGCGTCCAACTGTGGGTGCGCACTGCGGGGCTTTCCGGTCGGTTGGTTCAATGTAAACAAAAAAAAAATATTTCTTTTCGATATTTGCTACTTTTTCCTACTTTTTCGTGTTGTTTGCCGGCTTAATAAACTAGCGACAAGGTTGGCGAAGTCGACAAAATTGCATGCCACATGAGCGCAGGGGTGACGGAGTACGCAGACTATGTGAAGGGGGTGGCTGAAGTGTTTTCTCCAATCTCAAACGTGGGGTGTGAGGGTGGGTTTTGAGGTGTACTACGGTTGTTGACTGGCTGGATTGCTTGTTTGTTTTTAGTGAGTTGTTGTTGTAAAGGCACACTTAGCGAGTATTTTAACTATGATTTGAAGCAGAGAAACTTGATTTGAAGCAAAAGTGGTGACAATATCAATATGTATGTGGACGCTAAATAAAAAGTTTGTTGTATATTGAATAGGAGTTGGTGCTTTTAGTAGGGTTTTTTTTTTAATTTTTTTGTTTTTTTTTTTTGGTGAACAACAAAATTTTTTCAAATTTCTTAATTCTTTCAATGCATTTAATATTAAAAAAAAACGAGTCTCATATTATGCAGATTTTTTTTACACAATTTTTGTGCAGTAAATCCTCCAAATAATATTGGAAGTTTAAATTATTTTGTTGTTTAAATTATCATTATATTCACACACGCACACTGCAGACACATGTACAAATATATTTTTATTTTTGTACTTATTTATAAATGCAAATTTTAAAAATACACTCATCAGATTATTATTTTAATGAAGCGACGAAAATTGCGTTCGACAGGTAGACTGTGGTTGGTTGTTGGCGCACCGCTGACGACAAAAGAACTCGCACAACCGCACCGCGCGACCAGAGAACAACGAATGAGCGCTGAGCGAAGAGCACCCAACCGGCTGGACCTCAATGAAACATTTTTCCCGAAACGAAAACCATATGAATTCCTCACACACACACACATGCAGATACCAGCCCGCACACAGATACTCGATAACACACACGAAGTCAGCGGAGTGACAACAGCAATAAAATAAACAGCGTAGAACCCGAGTTTTTTTTCTGTTGCAAACGACAAGATACAGATGTAACTCGCTCAGCTACAAGAGTACTCACAAGCGCAAATACAAGTGCATATATTTAAATACACATTTGTTTAATCAATTTGTGGAAATGGTTGCTTGTGAGTATATGTTAGGGAAGTCATTGTGCGTATCTGTCAGATGCACGCAGCTCCAGCAGCGAGCTCGAACATGTTTGAAGTTGTTGCTAGCCTAATCTGAAAACATTGCTCTTCGACACCTGTGCAGTTGTGTAGAACCTGCGGGACTTTGTGCGTGTCTTGGGGATATGTATATGGTAAGATATAATGGGAATCCAGTTGACACAATTGAATTTTATGCGATTGGCTACAAGTTGAATTGGTAGCTATGTATCTCTCAGTAACCTCACACCTTTAAAACACCCGCGCTTGTCTTCTTACTGCATGAAATATCTTTGAGGTGAGATATCCACTTTCTACGCGACGAATTTTCAAGTACAATTTTCTTTATCTAGTTTAATTTTTTAATCTGAATTTCCAGCCAGAGAAGCAATAAGTTACAAGTTTTTTCTTTATAATCTTTTAAAAATTTCCGCGCACTTTTAAACCAATATTTACACTTCAACAGGGGTTAAAGGAGGTCGAGGAAATATCAACGGAAATTTGTTTGCGAACAGGGTTGCATTTACGTAACAAATACTTAAAGTGTGCAAAAACTTAGTGCATCTGTTAATAAATTATTTAATTATTATTAAATATAGCTTCAACAAATTAAGCAATTGTTTGCTTAAATTGTATTTCAGTATTCTTAAGATTCTGATTAAGTAACACAGCTCTGCTGCTCAAACTCAAATGCAGATGCCGCTGTGCTCCAGGAAACATGAGCCAATCAGTACTCGTCATTCGTTCATTGCTCGGAAGGGAGTTAAGCGTGCATTATTCTTGAAACAACCTCAAGTCGGCAGATTTGCAAATATATTAATTGTGTGTATTATTTCGATTAAATTGCCTCAAAATAAAAAGTGTAGTGTAGTATATAACTTTCGCCACCATATTTTCGGTCGCAAGTCGGGTTTGATGTTAAAACGCATTTCGCTTCTATGTTTAATTTTCAAATATTGAACATATCCGGTCGGATCAGGAAATGAAAAATGGCTAAAGCGTAAAGTGAGTATAAATGTAAAAGTATATTTTACCTGAGACTCAATTACAAATTAAAACAAACTTCCTCTGTGTTTAAAATATAGCACTGGTCCATATTTTCTGATATTATATTTCATATTTTAATATTTACATATTAATATTCAATTATAATATACTAAAATAATATGTATATATATTACATTCATCAAATACTGTCTTACACTCTAATACATACATATGAAACAAAAGTCTATGTAAACAAGAAATTATAGGAAGCAAAAGCCGTTAACAGCCAACAGAAATATATATATTCAAAATTCATTTTATATTTGGTCATGAAATTAAGGGAAATTAGTTTTTACTGAGCATTTTAGAATTACCGAAGCTAAAATTAGTTATTTTCCAATTAGTGAAAAATATCTATATGTGATGGATTTTGGAAGTTTTTTATAAATAAAGTATACCTTTCTTGAAAATTACGGCAGAGTGGCAGATTTCAGTTTAAATAAATTTAAAAAAACAAAAACAATTAAAATATTAATGCAATTCAATTGTTTAAAATGCGTCCTTTTTAAATGGATGTAAAGGAAATGCAATGTTAACCTGCCTATTTATAACGAAAAATAAATAAACATTACATTGGTGGTAATAATTTTCATGAAAGGTATAATACAAGTTACAGCTAAGCCTAATTATTTTTTCTTAAGCCTGCTATTTATTCAAGTAAGCGGAAAGTATCTTTCGATATCTGCTTCTGTGCCGATCTCCGTGATTGCTAGGAAATTATCACGTATGTATGACTTGCAATGTGAGAACTCTAAAATGGAAAGGAAAAATAATATTATGCAAGTCAAAAACTTTAAGCGTGGTTCATTATATATTATATAATATGTATGTATCTACTTACCAAGTTTGCCGTCACATACACGATTTGTTATTCTTTTGGCCAATGTTTTAAAAAGTTCTTTCGTAGCGATCTTCTTTTTGTAATAAGGATTCAGCAAATCCACAACGGATTTACTCACATCCGTTTTATGTTTGGCAGCGTTAAGACGCGCTTGTCTTTCATTTGAAGAATGTCTAGAATTTTGTTCGGGTCTCAGCGTTGGTTTGCGATGATAATCGCCACTCTTTACTACATTTTCGCTGGCACTGATGTTGCTTTTTGGCAGAGCGAATTTCGACTTGCCGCCGTTAAGGTCGCTTTCCGTGGATTTGGATGATTCCTTCATTCGCTTAGACGCATACCAGTCGTTTTGTCTTGCCACATCTTCCACTCTCAGACCGCCACCTATAGTGTTTTTGGTAGCATCCTTTTCATTTGATTTTGCATCCGCTTTCGATGATGTTTGTTCATCATCTAAAAGCGAATTTTTCTGTGCCGCTGCTTTTTCTGCATTGGCTCTTTCCAATTCTTCTAGTGCTTTTAGTTCTTCTTCTATTTTCTTTTTACTCAACGCAAGTTGTTCTAATTCATCTAAGGAGTCTTCAGACTCCTCCAGCTTCTTATCGGATTCCCCCTCGAATTCCTGCCATTCTGCACGTAGTGCTTTGAGCTTTTCTTTCACGGATTTCTCATACTTCACCGAATCCTCGAAAGCATCCTGGTATTTGCACTTTGTCGATGACGAGTTCTCATACATATCTAGTTCATCTAAATCGTCATCACTGTGCTTATGTTTAGAATGACGTTTGTGTTTGTGTTTGCGACGTGACGATGAACTAGCGGATGAAGAATCTGATTTGTATTGATGTGTGGCTAATGTGGCGCTGGCTGATGATTTGTGATGGTGTGTTGTTGAACTGGTTGCTGACTGATAGTATGCATCATAGCTAACCGAAGTTTTATAGCTGTGTAGTGGGGATTTTTCCTTTGTTTTGCTATAATGTGATGTTCTATGCTTACGTTTATGATGAATTTGCGAGTCGTAGTAGTCATCATCTTCATTTCTAATGCCCGTTCTGGAGGAGCTGTCCGATTTGTTTGTTGTAGATATATCTGATTCGTCACCGAAAAGGGTTTTCATTTTGCCGTCATCTTTCTTAGTTGGATACTTAATTGAGCTCTCCAACATCTCCTCTGCCGTATCATCCCAATCTTCATTGCCGAACAAGGAATCCATTTTCAAAGTTTTTGCTTTGGTGACATGATTATCTTTTTTGTCTAAACCTGTAACATTGTTTTTGTCTTTCGTTTCCTCATCTTCGCTCATTTTATATTCATTTGAGTTAATTTCCTTATCGCTTATATCCTCGAGGTCATCATCTATTTTCTTGCATTCGCTTTCATTTTTTAGAGTCTCGTCTTTATCAATTGCATCGAAAGAGTCCTCTAATTTTGAAGGCTCTACTGCTTCAAATTTAATAGAGTATTCGTCCAGCTTCTCTTCTTCCGTGCTTATTTGTTCCATATCTTCTGAAGGCTCTTCGCGTTCCGTCTTAACGGTTCCATTTTCGTTGGCATTAAGTTCTTGGCTCTCACTGCTGCTGCTAATAGGCGAACACTCATCACCTTCCTCTTTAGTTTTCTTCTCTTTCTCAAAAAAGCTACCAATTTTCGTCTGTTTGGCCGTATCTTGTTTGTAGCTCTTTTTATGCCGCAAAGCCTTCGGAAGATCTTTAGATGTGCCACTACACTTCGCGGCCGCATTGGGCGATGATGGTCGTGCGTCTTCCAATTCTTTCAACTTACGCTCGAAATATTCAACACTACCACCGGTCCAAACACTCTGTTGGCTGGTTTCCGGCCGCGCAACATAGTCACGAAGAATCGGCATCAGCAGCTCTTTGTTCGTTTGTTGGCGTATGGCTGAAAGCTAAATAAGCGAATTAGATCTGAGTTTCCATTTGGAGTCTTTTCATCTTACCTCTTTGGCCAGCGAATGTCGATACATATTGGCAACCTTCACCTTGGAAAAACATTCATACTCTATATCTATGGCAATGGCTTCGTAATCACGATGCCGTAGATCCCGCCGAGGATCGTCTTCTTTACATTGTTCGGCGTTTAACTTCAAAGCACTGATGATTGCACTTAGATAGTTCTCTCGTATCGCTGTCGTTAAACCGGATACTTTAACCCCTGATGATGGCGCATGCTTGACTCTTGTTATCTGCGCTTTGCTCTCTTTTTCCACCTCGCGTGCCGCATTCAATTGCTTGCGCAGTTGAAATTGTTTGCGTATGAAATCTTCCGTCTCCCTCTTGGCCTTCTTAGCCAGCTGTTCGTGACTTGCATCCGAATTACTGTCGGATTCGCCATAGTCTTCATTTAAACGCTTAATAGCAGCACGACCGCCTAAAAAAAATATATATTTTTAATTTGTTTGATACTTAATTGAGCTCAATCTTTCGAATTACCTTCATACAAATCTGTGCTGTCTTCGAGCGATACACTTGATTTGAATCTGCCATCCATGCATAGTTTGTGGAACATTTCCAAAGCCTTTTCAATTTTCTTTGGGTGCTTGCAAACGTCGCACTGACCGTTACAGTCAGGCGGAGGATCACCAAAGTAATCGGAAAATAATTTATGGCGACATCGCAGACTTTCGCAGAAGCTCACGATTTCTTCAAAATTCTTAATTGCACGCTGAATATACAAAAGAAAAATATATTTAAAGTAATATATATCAAATATGTACGAAAACATGGCAGAGGATGAGGGATGTGTTTTAAAGCTAAATCACCTGTGATTGTTCTTGCTTTCCAGAGCAGCTGGAAGATCTTGAACGATTCAAATCATTTTGCAAAAGAAATTGTATTGACTTTACATCCTCTCTGCCGTAGTACAACCGACAGTATGACTGCAAGCCATCGCGTCCAGCGCGACCTGATTCCTGATAGTAGGCTGCCACATTTTGTGGCACATCCCAATGTATAACAAAACGCACGGATGGCTTATCCACACCCATGCCAAAACTATTAGTCGCACATATCACCGGGTATTCGCCGTTCATCCATTGTTCTTGCACTTGTATGCGCTCGGCGGCTTTCAAGCCAGCATGATATGCAACTGCACCTACACCTTGCTTAGATATGCCATATGCTACACGCTCCACGTTCTCACGCGTACGACAATATACAATGCCACAACCACGCTTTGGTGCTGGTACGCTCTTGAACTCCTCCGTATCGCCGAAACAATGCAATGCAAATGCTGCTAAATGCTGAAAATCATCCTCTATCGAATTCTTAAACACTATATCGTAGTAGAGATTCTTCCGAAAGCTAGGAGTTGTGAATTTGGCAACTGGTTGCTTGAGAGCTAAATATTGAAAGATGTCTTCACGTACTTGCCGTGAAGCAGTCGCTGTCAACGCCATCCATACTATGTTATTGTATCTGCGTCGCAGCGAGCAAAGCTTCAGATAATCAGGCCGAAAGTCGTGACCCCATTGTGACACGCAGTGCGCTTCATCCACGGCGAAGTAAGCTATTTTGTCGTATTTTACCAACGTTTGAAGGAGATCTTGGAAAAATTGTGTTGCCGCCTGCTCGGGCGTAATATACAAAAAGCGTATGCTGGGACGCATTGCTTTCAAGTCACTTATCACCGCATCACGCTCTTTTGTCGACATTTTTGAATTCAACGAATCAGCGCGTATTCTAAGTTTGCCCAAGTGGTCAATTTGATCTTTGATGAGCGCCAACAATGGTGAGAATACTATTGTAATCTGATTCTCGCATAACACGCCTGGCAGCTGGTAGCACAACGATTTGCCAGAACCGGTGGGCATAGACACGAATATGTCGCGCTTTTCTGTTTAAAATATTATTTATTAACAAAATATACACATGCACAAAAATATTGTTATCTGCGTGCAGCAGCACTTACTCTCCACCGCACATTCTATTGCACTCCGTTGTAATTCTGATTTGAAACTTTTGTGCCCGAAATGTTGCTCTAACGCAGCATAGAGTGCTGCTTCTGGTTCTTCACTTGCACTCATTACGTTTGATTGCGCAGCTGCTCGAGTTTTTGCAAAGTACTCTTAATTATCGTAGATTAAATTCATGAAATGCGTGGTTTTATTCTTTTTTCACTAGCAAATTTTTTCTATCCACCTCGTTTATGTTTTCGGCGGTTTTTCTTTGTTTTGGACTTTGACATTTAACGTTCTCTGACATTTCTTTTCGGCGTACAGTGAAAAACAAGAGCTGTTATTAGTAACACAGGGTTGCAATGATTTGGTTGTTTAAATTTCGAACACCTGATTAGAACTCCTACCAACTGAATCGAATAATTCTAAACTAAATTTCATTTACGGTTATGGCATAACAAAATTTTAAGAAAATTAAGAGAAATCGAAATCAACTTATAAACAATTAGCACAAAACAATGAGAGTTGGCTAATTTTTGTCATTGGTTTCAGCGTTTTTTATATGTAGACCACCATATGCAGTTACATATTCATTTCAGTTGTCAAAGCAAGTATGTCATGTAACGCGAAGTGTTTTTTTTAGGATTTGTTTCATAAATGTCCTGCCTGAAGGACCTGTCTGTTTCATGATTAACCATTTTTAAGAAATTTTTTCACTTACCGACTCTTATGGTTTGCTATGAGAAAACAAAATGGGGAGTGCAGAGTATTTACTATGGCTGTTCACCGGAGGGAGAGCGGTTAAGCAACAAAAAAAATTTGTCTCATGGCATGGGTACGATCTCTTGGTTATTTAGATAATATATTCATCAGGGAAAGTAGTAGAAAAAAACCTTTCTTCGGAAATTAGAAAGTAAACAACTTAAATCAAATATTATTTTCAATCCTTTTAAGCCCCAGTAACGAACCAGAATTATCCCAAAGTTACGAGGAATCTACTGCCTATTAGTAATTGCCATGAGATATGTTCGCTTTCACTATCTTCCATAATTTTCCATAATTAATTCTTTAAATTTCTTAACCTATGTACATATGTATGTAATTTCTATCGCCTATGTAAAGAATTATATAAAAAAAAACTATGTATTTCAGTTTCAAAAGTAGTCAGTAAATGACCATTAGATTAAATCATATATTATATATATAGACGAACAGCTTGACACCTATTTCCTTATTATTAAAAAAAACAATTGTGTCATTTTGTACATTTGAAAATTTGGAAATTTCACCATGGCAGGCTAAATATTCGTTTGCGCTTAATATTATTATTATATTTTATGTGTTTGAATAAGTATAAAATCCAACAAAACATTATTATTAACTTAAGTCTATACATTGATCATGAAATTATTGCAATTATTTGTTGATACAATTATTATTAGGTAAAAAAATGCGTTATAAACAATTTCGTCTCTTTTCTGTAAATATTACAGTGTTTGTAATACATCCGAACTAAGGACAATCGAACTCTCTATTCGAGCTCACCGCTAACACCAAATCGTATTGTAGCTAAAACATCCACCAAGTAAATGAGTGTGGTCACCAATGAAACCGAAGCAGCAGCTAGAACTAGGTCAAGACGTTGCATATTCGGATGCCAGTAGTTGCGTTCTTTCGTGGTGGACCAATCGCGGAAGAGTAAAGCCGTCGCAGCAATTAGTAGAATGAAGCCAACAATGGACCACAAGGTCGAAGTACGCCAAGGAGTGCTGTATAAGCCGAGAATAAAAGAAATAAAAAGAAAAAATTTCAATCAACTCGAACGAGAAGGGAGTGGTATAAATATATATACGCACGCATCGCCGAACAATGCCATAATTAAGTAAATTGATGTATAAATGATTAGGCTGCCAAAGGTTACATAGCAGAGTGCCACAACGCGCGGCGTTATGAATATGCGCAAATGTGAGTGCGTGGATGGTTCATCGATGAGTCCGATGCAGATAATTACCAGCACCTAAAAAGAAGCAGTTCGTAAGCGTAATGGTGAGTGAACTTTGAATTAATTATTTAATTGAATTAGTGAGTTAAATACTTGTATACGCTGTGATAAAGATTAATTACGCTACTTATACAATTACAAATTCTTACCAGTTCTAATAGTTTTATGCCCATCAGCGAATAGCTGGCACGCTTCGAACCGCTACTTGTCGTGTAGGTGGAGTCCTCTGCCGGCGACATTTCTACCCGTGAGATTTCTGTTGAAATTATAAGCGTAACATTGAGTTTACTTTGCAAATGCCAATTAATTGAGTTTGCAATAAATGTACATTTATGGAGATGTGATTAAATTAAATGGGGTCACACAGTGACCTAAGCGTCTGAGTATGCTTCTCTTTACCTATGGATCGCAGATAGCTCATTTCAGTAACTTATTTTATCGTTTCTCCTTTACAATTGAATGATTTTATATGTCGTAAAAGTAGGTGAGAACGACGAACGAACCACCTTGAATTGAACTATATCAGCAGGAAATGGACATTTTAAGAAATGATCATCTCTTGATCACGTTTTACACGTATGTGTCTTGCTATTACTGATGTTAGTAACAAATGTAATTGGAAAAATATTTAATTATTTGCTTTAAGCATGATTACTGCTCAATTTCTTCAGTAAGTAATGTGCACACACATATTTGTACTACGTGAATATGTATTAGCTTTGGTAAAACAGATGTTTGTTTTGTTTAAAATCTTAAAATAAACCTTGAATATTCTTAATAATGCCAGCATGTGGTTCCTTTCCTTTGTGTAATGTCACACTTCATTGTGAAATGATAAAATCGCTTTGTAGAGGCATCCATACATGAAGTGCATTCATATCTTTTTCCGAATGACTTTTTTTTAATGTAAATGCCCGTTAAAAAGACATGACAAAAATCCTTTGGAGAACAGTGTTACAATCCCTAAAACACATACACAATTTATGAGTGTAAACAAAAACTCGTGAAGAATTTCAAAAGCTCAAATTTCTGTTCTAAAAGGTGCTAGGTCGTTCTGTTCATATCGCTAGCACCTGTGAAAAGGAAGCCAGAAAAATCGGAACTCCGTACGTTATATACGCTGCATCTATCTAGCATTGAGAGCTATAAGCTTCATGCTTTGCGGGCAATATTTGCTGATATGTTATGGTAGGAACTCAATACAGCATAACATAACAAAATATATTGGGTTTAAATGTTACTAATAAAGAACCAATATGCATTTATCTCAACTGCTATCCAACTACCACTTGCTGCAGGCGAAGAGTTTTAGAAATTAAAATTATATCTGCCCAGATTCCTACATATGCCATCCCTGTATGTCGCCTTATATCCTACTAGTATGTTACTTTAATTTAGAATTTTTAGAAAACGCTGGTGCCGCGGTATGAGCTTCTAGCGATTGGAATAAACCACCATAAAAACATTAACCATTTAAATATTGGCATTAACTTTCTCAGGAGAATCCATTTATTTTGCATCTGCACCACATTTACGGGAAGAACCTTGGCATTACTTACCAAAAGCCTTAATTTCGGGTATTGCGTATTTTACCACCCACATAATTTAACACCATTATAATGTGCGTGACCGAAACTTTTTTTACGCTTGACCCGTGTGCATAACTAATTATTTAGACAAAAGCGCAAAAACAAAGTAATACAAAATCTGTGGTCATAGTTTTGATATTAAATGGTAAGCACTTGATGTGCGTATATAAGTATAATACATATACATGGCGCTTTGTAACCGCTGAAGCAATTTTCGGCCGAGCTCCTTATCCAATTTGTGGTTTTGAGTCTTGATGTTTTTCTAATAAATAGAGAGACCTACAGTTTACACAAAGCCGCCGGAAAGCGGCGGATGGGTTTTTTATGAGGAGCCTTTATTTGAAGCCGGAAATACACTCAGAGGGGTTGCTTCCCTGTAGAGGGGCGAGCGCAATTAGAAAATTCAACATAATTTTCTATAACTTTTGCATGTTGGTCGTACCAGGATTTAACTCCTGGCCTTGCGAGTGGCAGTACGCAATGCTAACCACTCGGCTACCGCGGTCGTTATATGAAAACATTTGCTGAAGAAGAATTAATTAAATAAAAAAAATGTAATTAATAGTTATTACAATAACAATTAATGTGAGGTTAAAAACTAAACTGCAGTTACTATAAGCACTTGACCATCGCGTGTTTTGAGTTAACAAAAAAAAAAAATAACATAAAAAAAAAAATAACATAAAAAAAAAAAATTAAAAATGCTTTTGGCCGATTTCCTCTTCACTTCGTTTCTACATTTGTACCATCAACTTTAATACATTTGTTATTTACCATTTCGGGTGATTGCACGAAATTAACGATGACGACAAACATTCAGCGTGCCGCATAAAACAGGTCATAAAATACACGAGAAAAATAAAGAAAACCAGTCAAAATGGAAAGTCAACTGAGGCATTGTTTGTTGTGTTGTGGCTAAAAGGCGCCAAAACAAGTTTCTTTCACCATTTCGAACATTTGTTGGTAAATAAAAAATGTAAACAAACCATTTTAGGCTGCAACTACCCAACGAGCGTACCAGCCGTCCATAGTAACCTATCTTATGAGAGCGCCATGTAAACACATACCATAGCGTTGCTGACGTTTGTGTCGCAGAAACCAACGAAGTTTTGATTTTTCCGTAAAACCGGCTCGGCTCATTTTTCGTTGCTATACAAGGTTGCCAGTATAGCCTTTCTTAAAGTAACATTAAATAATCGAAGATAATGCGTAGTTTTGTTCAAAAGAAATGAAAAATAAATGCGTAACTAATTATTTGTTACCATATAGATCATGTATTTTTGCCATGTGTTTATGTTAAAGCAAATAAATTATGAAATTCGTTGACGAAAATTATGAATTTGTTCAAAAGTGTGCAAACACACAGGCAGCTGGCAACATTTCGCCGATTCAGCGGCGTCGATAGCTCGTGTATGTATTTCATTACTAACGTCGTCAGTTATGGACGGCTGGAGAGTGAGTTGGGTAGTTGCAGCCTTAGTCAACAAAGAGAAATAAAACCGAAAGATAGTGAGTAAATGAGAGCAGAGACGAAAGTGAGAGAAATTTTCATAAATGCTTCCTGCGTTTTCGAAGTTTATTTCGCAATTGTCTTCGAAACTGACTGAGATTTATCACTCCATACTGTGAGATTATTAAAATACAATGGATTGATTGCTGCCAGCTTTGCAGTTTACAATTTTCAAATATCTTTACGATACACCACACCTGTTCACGGTGCTCTAATAAAATTGGGCTCAAGTAAGGTAGGAAACTCGCATTGAATAGGCTTTAGAAATTTCTGTAAATATGTTTAAATCTCGAACTTCTTCAAATTCGATGGGTCTATTGTGTGCCACTAACGAAGCCTTATAAAACGGCCATTGACTTGTCATACTCCACTATTTCTACGTCTAGCTGTGCCAACAATGTGAATGAATATGGTCAATTCGTGCAGACGTGCGGCCAAAAATAAAACTCACAAACTGTTCTTGCGTGCAGTTCAAGTAAAGACTAAGCCTATTTATGTCTTCAACAACTACATACGTACGTGCCTAAAATACTAAGCCCATTTTCGTCTTTTTCAGCACTGTTTACATTCTGAGTAATGAAGAAAAATGTGGCTCTAAATAAGAGTGGCCGAATAAAAATTTTCATTTATAAATTTTTATATTTAGAGATGAATAAGTTTGTTGCACAAGTCTTTTGTTTCCAAAGTTTGTGGGAAAATAAAAAGATATTTCGTAAATTTCACTTTGTTATCCAAAATTAGCTTGCCTTCGACTCGTCATGCATGTTTAAAGACATTCACTTGTTTTAAAGAACATTCCCTAATATATATTCGAAGATTCAATACTCTTCGCTGTTTACATTTTATACATACATATATGTATATCATTTACGTGGTGGGAAAAAAGTGTCTCGGTTTCCTGTTTCCATGCACTTGTACAGATGAACAGATGTATGAGTAAAACAATTAAAAAATAGCATTGCTAACAAAGCTTGTCAGTGAACAAAATGCAACGATAAGATACTCGTATATTGTACATAATAATCATAATAATGTATGTAAGAGTATGTGCGAAATGCAAGATTGCGATGCTGAGAAATTCAGATGAGAGCAAAAACGAGTGGGGTTACAACAATCACACATTTGTAATTGCATTAAACCAGTTTTCGCACGTCTAACACACGAAGCCCAGAAGTGATGCTTATATACATAAATATGTAATTATAGCATATCAACTCGAAACGGAAACCTGCTGCAATCATATAAAACCTCAATGTGAGCAATTCACGTGCCGCAGACGTAAAAACAAAAACAGAAATATTGAATAGAAAACATGATGAGAAAAGGGAAACGTAGAAAAAGATGTATAAGAAAAAAACTATTAGAATACTGTGAGCAAAACAGCAGAAATGTTAAAAAACAAGTGATAAAACGTTTGTAAAAAATACGAATAAATAAAAAAAATTAAATCAGGTCAACAGACACTGAAGGGTAAACCAGAGACAAGCCATTTAAATAGTAGTATTAATATGTATGTATGTATAAAGAAATTTCATTGTTTCAAACACGCGAAGCCAGCACAAATCACAGCATTGAATAAGAATTTATAACCTTAGGCACAAAATTGGTTACAAAACATATGCCCGCCTTTTGAAACTTAGTAATCGTTATCTGTTGTGCCAATAAATGCAGTAATTTCCATTGCCAAAGCAATTTCAATCTCTAGGTACATACAAGTGAATATGTAGGGTGTGGCCTGATTTAGCTGAGACCTAGTTTACAGGGTATAAATGCGAAAAATGCACATACTGCAAGTTCTCACACGCTTTCATGTTAATAATGGCAATAAAATGTACAGGGTTGATAAACTTTAGAGAGCTATGTAGGCGTAAGAACATACATACAGGTAGATACAAAAGGGCTTCCTATCTACTCCCCAGCCTTTACACCCACTTAATACATATAATATTCCATACAAACATATGTACATACGTAAGTCGTAGCAGCTATACTACCCTAAACTTTTCCGGCTATCAATTTCAGCAAGAGATTCTCAGACATTGAGGCCAGAACATCAGCCGACGATAAATTGACTAAGAAATAAAACAAAAAAGGAAAAAAGAAATCGCGAAAAGCGACAGACAGGTGAATAAAAACATGTAAACAAAAGACTGGACTTCAATGTCAAAGTCATTATTTTACTGTTAACCTAATTGTTGGCGCCGTGGTGATATGAAACGTAAGTGACCGCAAGTAAGAAAGCAAGCAGCGAGGACTTACAAGGACATGAAGTATAAACAAGGCTAATAGCACGTGAATCGACATGACACAATAGGAAACAAAAATAAAAAATATTGTTGTAATGAAATAGGATGAGGAGAGAGGGTAGAATGCAGTTAGTAAACTATGAGGGTTGAAAAAAGTATTTGCAGCTAACAGTTGGCTCGTATATGGCAATATTTATTTCGCTTGAGTTTTGAATTTCTGGTATAACTTTGTATTCTAAAAAAATACTGATAAGACGATTTGATGTAATAATTTCGCTCCGTCCCTCTGTGCGTCTGATAGTCCTCCACCTTATAATGTAATCTTTGCTAATTTATACATATAAAATCTAAACGGTTGTCACAATTATTTCCATGTGCCTTGTAACTGTACATAATTCGATTTCAGAAGAACTTGCGCAGTTTTTTATTATTTATTTCTCAGATATTTATGTAAGTAACCCTTGTTTTTATGAATCATCAAAGCGAACAGAGGAGAATAACAAAACGGCAAATATAATAAATAATGTGATGTGATGATGTGGAAATACGTGAAGAAGACAAACAAAGATTTAAGAAAGTAGCGTAAACCCCAAACTTTAGACACATGTTTATGAGCAAGCTTGAGAAGATGACCAATGAAGACTAAAAAAATATGTTCTACCAAGAATGTTGTTGTTGTTTTCTCATATGTTATGATAAGATGAGTTATATGAGGCTGTAGCAGTTAGGAGTTATTTCTCTGAGAGCCAAAAGTCAGAAGAAAATTTAATGATCATGACTACAAGCGACTTATTTGTTCGATTGTTTATGCAAGAAATTTACAGAAGCGCAGCTGCGTCTTATTCGAATGTTGGTTGCAAAGTGACTGATCATTCGAATAATGGGGTGGGGCTGTTGTTGTTGGAGGCGGTTGCCTATAGGAGCCAAATTTAAAATTATTTATTATTATTTTAACACATTTTCATCGACAAAAATATAAATAATAAAAACTAAACAATCAAATCAGAATTTTCTAATTTAATTCATCGGACCATTAAAGCATTAAAAATTATTATTTTTTCATCTAATTTTTATATATTCAATTTTAACTAAGTTTTTTTTTGTGTTAAGAGTACTTCTATTCACTACTTCTGCATGGTGTAGGTCTAGTTAGAACATTATAATTTAATAATATTGTAAATAAATAAAAACATCTATTTTTGTTGTGTAATATTTCACATTAAAATGTTACTGTGTAGAACAGGTTTCGCGCTAGCGCTTCTAGTAATGATTATATAATGCGTTAGGCTCATGCAAATTACACACATACCATATATGTACATATATGTTAATTCAAAATTATATAATACGTATTAAAACTTTTGCCATGAAAAAATAATTTTAAATATTTATTTTCTAATAATATTATTTACACACATTTTTTTTTGGAGAAGTATCGATGTGAGCGCGACTTGAACACAGTGGGTATATGAGCTTCGTGTTGTTGTTATTGTTGTACAAGTGCGCTATAATTAGCGTGACTGTTAGTTGTTGTACAGGTTAGTCGAGAAACTTTTAGTATATACTGCTTGTCTAACACAGAGTTTAATGTAAAGAATGAAAAATCCACTTTTATTTTTTTTGTATCCCTGCGAAAAGTTTCTTAATTCATACACTAAAATCTAATTAATTTTTATTAATTGGAATTTTTTTTTTTAATAAAACTCAAAATACGTCAGAATACTGTTTTAATTTTTTTTTGTGTCTACGTCAGCTTTTTTGGTCTTTGCTTTGCTTAGCACACACGAATTCCAAGGAGATTCGAATTCAAATTCCTTTACGTGACGTTATGCTTATTTACATATTACATCCAGACAAATCCGACACTTAAACTCTTCAATTTTATTTTCCAATTTCGTTTTATGGCTTCGTTTGAGCGCCTACCGTACCGTACAATTCGAACTGCGAACACCGAATGCTCATATTTAACCACTTTGGCGTACAAGCAACGCTGAGCAGTGGCCAACTTGTAAGCAAGTAGCCCTCAAAGCGTTTGGTGGGCGCCTAGTAAACAGCTAGCGAGTTATTCGAAGTGCCAGTGGAGTGTTCGCATTGTAAACATTTGGTTCTCTTTCAAGCATACACACGCCCTTTTCGAATGCAGTGCTCGAATCGTCGATTGCAAGTGAGAGAGAGAGAGTCAACATGGTAAATTCGTTAGTTGGACCAGTTTTCAGGCTAGGTTTGTGACTCTATTAGCTTTTAGCAACTTTTCTGTAGTACAGTTGCTGTCTTTATTTCGAATTCAATTTCGAACATATTGCATTTAAACTCTTTTTTATTACTAATGGTTTTTCTCTTTTTGCTAAGTATGCTCTGAATTCAGATTTACAATTGAATGTGACAAAAGATTTCTCAAAATTATAATATTATTATTCCTTTGCTGGTTTCAGGAACATTTCATATCAAAAATGAATACAGCTGCATTTATTTCATGGTTTAAAATAACTTTATTATTAATTTTTTTAATTTTAACAATTTTTTAAACATTTTTATTTACATGCTTTTATAAAATATTTTCTATATTTAAAGTTCATCTGGCTTGTTGCTTAAATTTAATAAATTTAAAATTACAATTACATATTTATGATCATGTACATATTTACAATTTGTATATATATATTTTTCGTTTTGGATAAATATTGCAGCATTTCCTCATTAAAGTTATAAATATATTTTAAAATTAAGACAGTCTTTCGTTACGCAAATATGCTCACAATTTTAACTAATTATGTATGTATTTATGTTTGTGTATATAAAATTTTAAATATTTACAACCATTGTCAATTTATTAAATTTAATTATTTAAAACATACATTTATCATTTTGTTAAATAATTTACATCTGAGCTCCAAGCTGAGAGAATGTCAGATTATACACTAAACTCATGCAAATTAACACTCAACTCTGTTAAGTGTGCATGATGAGAGTGGGTATCTCAGTAAACACGATCGCGCATAATTAAAGTTAGTGGGGTTTTAGGCGCGAGCAGAAATTCAAATTCTGTTTGTAGAGGCTCCTTGAATTGAATTTCGAAAGAGACGGTCAACTGTGAACGACAACGAAATGTTTTAATATAAATATGCATAAAAATATGTGTTTATGTATGTAAAGAGATAATAACAAATATTACCTTAGCTAACAACAGCATCACCTCCATTTCGACAAATCGTTTGCCGGGACATGTACGTTTGCCAATACCAAATGGCACCACAATACACGCATTGGGCACGTTTACGGTAAAGTTACCCTTTTCATCCAGCCAACGTTCTGGCCGATATTCTTTGGCATTGGGAAAATTGGCATCATTTTGGCAAGCAATCATATTCTGGCAAAGCACAACAGTCTTTAAGGTACAAACGAGTTGAATATATATTTAAGGTTGGAACAAATTTCTTTCTCAATGATCAAATACTTACGCCCGACTTCAGATGATAACCTGACAGCTCCATATTCTCCTCGAGTATGCGCGCTAAACAGAAGGCCGTTGGTCGAATGCGGTACGATTCCTGCACGCAAGCTTTGGTGTAGTCCGCTTTTGCGATTGCCTCTTTCGTTATAGTCGTCTTGCGATATTCACAAAAATCGGACAGTATGCCTGAAATTACACGCTCATCATTGGTCACTGAACTGAGCACAAAAAGTACGGTATTGGCGAGCTGTAAATAATCAAATATATCAGAGAAATAAAATAAGAATTATTTCTAGACCGATATTATAGCATCAACTGACCGTTTCAATGCCTGCCGCTATGAAGTCAATTATCGCCGATTTCTTGTCGCGTATATCCAGGTCCTTCAATTCCAGAATATTAAGGAATATGCTACGCAAATCAGCCTCACTCTCATCACCTGCCGATGTGAGGTAGTCCTCTTCTAGTGCTACTTCTACCATTTCGGAAATAACACTGAAAACGTATAAAAGTCTTTATCATTCCCACTCAGCTCTCTTTTTCCACTACATACTCATAGATAATCTCCTCGGCACGCACAAACTCTCTGTAAGTTTTCGTTGGAAAATATTTCCATAGACCCATGCCGTAGTAGGAATCGCGTTGTGAGATGAACAATTGCTTTACCGCGACCGCCAATTGCCTTATCCTTTCGGGTTGTTGCCCACTCTTATCCAGAAAACCCATACGTCTTCCTAGCATAAGTGTACAAACTGCTTCTAGACCCATCAGATTGGCAATATCTTCGAAGTTATGCACCTCGAGCGTAGTGGGATCGCGTTCCTGACGCAAAAGCTCAATGAAATCATCACAGACAACATTCAATGCCGGCAGAAAGTTGTAGAGTATACGAGGAGATGTTATGTAGGAGGTGAGCGAAGTACGCAATTTTTGCCAGGTTAGACCTTGTCTGAAAGTTTGTTAGAGGGCATTCAGTTGAGAATTTAGATAAGTAATCGTATATATAAATGGTAGAGAGTAAAGGAAGCTTGGCTAGTATTTGATTGTTTCGAAGAAAAATTAAAAATTAGAAAATCAAAAATTTTCAGAAGGTTAAATATTTTTCTACTTATGTATGTCATTTTTTTAGTATAAAAATATACTTACATATATTTTACATACATGTCTACATACAATACATACCTAAAATACTTACTCATTCACAATGCCTAAACTGGAATAACGATCTGGCCGCGACTGACGATACATAACGACGATATCTGTGGGCGGACGGAAGGGAAAACGACTGGGATACTTCAACACCTTTTCCAAATCGGTACGATCGAATAAATGAACAATTGGTAATCCAGAAGACATTACTTCTAAAGCAATTGGACCATATTTTCGGTGAAAATCTGTAAGCCGAGAACAAGAAATCAATTATATGATATTCACACACCATTGAGTTGTTACTATAATTATAGTGGTATTCACTATCACACTTTTTATGTATTCCACATACCCGCGTACACTTCGTGCATCAGCGACATTTTATACTTTCGAAAGAACACAAAGAATACCCATTTGGTGCCGAGGAATGGTATTGTCAGTGGTCCTGGAATGTCCCATACACCGCGTCGTCGTATTTGCATGGCATGGTAATAATCATCCGTTGCACTGCCTAAGTTGGCAACGCTACCAGCGGCTAGCTTTGCATCACGACAGCGTGTCAGCAGCGGCTTCAGATACAACGTGGCTGCTTTCTTCCAATCAATGTTGCAATAAAGAGCCAAAATGATTGCGATTGTGATCAAAAGAATCACGGCCATAACCATGAGAGAATGCTAGAAAAAAAAGATTCGATATTAAATGTTTATTTGCATTAAATGAGCAATTGTTTTTTTGCAATTGCATTAGGTAATCAGCAGTGCAATAAACACGCTAAATTTATGTAATCCAAATCAAATGAGCAATTTTCGCGCCTCGACCTACTGAAGTGTCCTCGTAGCCTCAAATTTCCACTTTACATAAGCTGTGCATATATTTTTATTCAGTTTAAATTCACGTAAAATCACGTCTAACCAGTTTTGGTAAGATTTTATTCAGTTCACACGCAATAATTGCTTTTTGTGTTGCTTTTGTAAAGTCTGTAGATAATTGCAGCTGTTCAACATTAGGAAACTTCACTACATCCCGCATATTAAAATAAAATCATTGCACGCAGAATGAAAAAATATTCGATTAATATTTAAACAAAGAAAAATCTCAAAAAAAAGTAAAATAGGGCGCTGCCATCTTGAATCAGATCTCAAAAATGGCTTTGTCTTCCATATGATATAGACATTTCTTACAAGAAAACATTTTACATTTATTTTTCTTTCGCCAACTACCCTAATGTAAATGCTGTATTGATCGTTGCTTGCTCTTAAATTAAATTCAAATAAAATGGGTAGGAGGTTGCCAATAAATTGGGTGGCTCAACATCAATGGGCGGTAAGTTCATTTGATTATCTTAAACACATGTTATTAGCTCTGTAACCGAGCACCTGAGAGGGCCCAGTGTAGGCCATAGGAAGGGGATCCCATAATTTGTAATACAAGTTTCCACCTGGCAAAAGACTAAAGCTCACCTTCAACGAACTAAGTGGACATTACAGGGTGGGCTTAGATCGGATAGATTCAACATGCGTTAAGTTCTGAGAACGACCCATAAAAGAAAAGCTTCCTCAAAACCTTTGGAAATTTTAAAATTGGCACTGACAGCTCCTAGAGAGGCTGTCTCTGATTGCAGATTTAATATGGCTGTGTAAACTGAGGACATCAGGAAGAACCTTTCCAAGCTGTTATTTATTAAACGGCTTTTATAGTAAATCTACCCTACATCGCGTGTCTTCTTTGACCAAAAATTTACGGAAAAATTACTAGAGCAAAGTAAAGAAGATACAAAATTCTTTAAGTTATTTCTGCTTAAGAAGTTCATTGGTCTGGTAGTTAACGAGGCTAAAACGAGATGTCTCATGTCAAACACCAAAAACTGTTTTACCCATGGAATTCAAAGTAGAATCATTCTTGCTAAAAACGCATATTTGTACTGAATGTATAATATATATATATATATATATATATATATATATATATATATGGTGCTTTGTAGCCGCAGAGGACTGAATAGGATTGAAAAGTTAAGTCTTCTCCCGATGAAAAAAGAGCAAACTGAAACTGATGTTCCTAATTTCGTTCCGCATTTTCATTAAATAAAAAACAATATTTTCTTAAGATAAAATCGTCTAAGGTAGCGAAATTTCTCAAAATCGACAATGGTAAACATTTTTATGTTCAAAGGCCTAAGGAAGCATACGAAATAATAAGGAAAGAGAAACATTGGCAAAAACAAATAAAAATGGGACAATAGCGGAAAAGTAAAGAAGAAAGGAGAAAACCAAAACAAAATATTTTAAATTTTTTATATCACCAACAACAAGAATGTCAACCGCGTGAAAGCGCATACAAAAGCCGATAAACAAAGAAATATTAATTAATGAAATAAGTGCAATAGCAAACCGAATAGGTGCCGAAAGAGACTTTTTTTTAAACAAATTTACATATGCTCATATGTATGAATGTCTGTGACTAAAAATTTGATGTGATCACGAGCGATTTGTACGTGATCAAAACCTGGTAGACACACGCAAATTCACAGATGCTTTTCAGCAAGCGCACGAGACTATCGGCGGCCAACTGATTTATATTTGCATGAATAACTGATCATGTGTGTGTAAGTGTGTGTTTAAAGAGGTGTGGGAATATAAATTCTTTCGCAGCCTTAAATGTTTGTTCGTGCAATTAATTGAATTCACTTTTATTGATCGTTTATTTATTTTAGGCAGGAAATTTACCGAAATTTGTGTATTGTTGTTGTTAACCTTTGCAAGTGACTTTGATAAAAATTATTGCTTTTTTTCTTTTTTGTATCACTGCGACATTCCTACAAGCCATTTACAAATTTATACGAGTAAAGAAAGGAGCAAAAGAAACTGCACTTATTTTTAGCTAGGAAATATTATTTTATAATTTACTTTATAGCATTTATTTATTTTAATTTTTTTTGTTTTAACAAATTATTTCTTAAAATACAAAACCTTTTTTTCTAATATTTTCGATTTTGTGTTGTTTTATAACTAATTTTGAAATAATTATTTTTATAATTGCACTATTTCATTCTCTTATCACCGCTATTCTGGTACACTCGATCACATACATACATACGAAAACATACAATATGTACATTGTATGTAAACGGCAACATTTTCAATGTCAGTAGGCCACTTGCATTATGTGCAAGTTAACGGTGATGACGGCAATCGCCGGCTTCTTATCAACATTAGCGTAGTTCGGCATGAAAAGAAAGCGATCTCGTGATTTTTTATACTCATACAAATACGAATGCGTATGTACATCCAAATGTATGTATATTCGTCAAAACGCTATGGGGGATTAATGAATGAAATGATTTAGCGCTTGTAATTTATACTGAATAATCAAGATGTAGTATGTATGTACATAGATTAATGGAAATATTCATACGCAGATATTTTTTTGTCAAAAGGAAATTTACGCGCTTCTTTCAGTTGACAGCTTTAAAGCCATTAAATTTGGAATTTTTGTTGGTGTTCTTTTTAAGTCCGTTTTGTAAAATTTCCGAGCTTTATTATTCAAATCACAAAATTTTTGTTAGCTTACACTTTTCGTTTAATGCAAAAGAACTGCTGTGTTAGCTAGACACACAATAAACACCACCTCACTAGCACTAAAATTCTTTGCCGCCTACAAATCCTTTTTATACACTTTCATTAGACCGACATAAACTGCCAAACTATGTCAAACGACGAAAGATCACATGCTGATCTCATATTATTTGCTTTTGAAATATCCATGTTTCAATTTCATTTACAAATATGTACTTGTACATATATATTTTTAAACACTTCTTCATAGCCTAGGCAAGCCAGTTGTTTATAAATATTTTTGTCCTAATTATAGAATATCCCAAAAAACATCTAAGGGATGCACCAAATTAGCTGAGCTCACGTGAGTCCATTTCTGCTCGATATGATAGGGAAGTGTTGTAAAAAAATTAAGGGGATCGCTACTTTGTTATTGCTATCTTCGAAACGACACTTTGAAGCAGTTTCAGCAGCATGCATCTTTTACTCGGAGTAAACACTGAGAAGAGTTTGGAATGTCTTTCCCAGAAATAGAGAAATCTATCTGATTTTTTTTTTTTCATAGGCTCAGGGACTGATGGAATTTTATAACAATCGTTTTGTTTCGTATCAAAAGTACAATAGAAAGGGTTGACATGCACGTCAAGTATTGCCAATTACTCCGCTATTGTGGAAAGTTGGGGATAAGAATATACGTTACATACTGGCTTTAAAAGCAGTCTGTGCACCTCCTGACAAAGGTACCGCTAACGGATGGCTACTTTCAAATATTAAATTCTACACCTCGCGAGAGATAGGCCACACCTCCACAATTACCTGTTTTACTACCAAATCTCCAAAAAAAAAAAAAAACGAATGGGGAAATAGGAACTGTTCCTGATCAAAGAACGTATTCCATATGAGCAAAAGACTGTCTGAGTTCTGAAGCATTGCAATAACAGAAGCCACCTCTCGTTATATTATTCTTCGGTGATAAATTCCATACATTTTGCACTAGACCAGGCCAAGGCACCGCTATGAAGGGAATGGCATGACTTTACTTCACTAGGAAGATCAACTAAAGCGTACTAAAAAGCATTTAAGCAACGCTCTATCAACTAGAAAGGGGAAGAAATAATTAATATTTCTTTGAAAGAATTATAACATTGGAGTTCTTCATATTTGAGCGTCGCTCAGTTTGGAATGAGTTTATTCATTTCTTTTGCCAAACCAAATCTTAATGCAGAACTGAAATCTAAGCAAATGCTAATTTTTGCTTAACCTTGAGCCTAGATTTTATTCTGTTCTAAGCCACATGCTCGCAAATATTTCAAGCAGATAATATTTGTGCATTAATTAAGCAGTCTAAAAATATCTGTGCTAAATCAAGTCAGCCTGAGAAACACGTTTTACCTGACTTTAATAATATTTGCCTGAGTTGTCTCTCAGATAAATCGATTTTCACACCTCAATTAATAAATAAGACAAATACTTCCTTCTTCGGCTTAATATGCAAACTTCCGGCGCCGCTTAATAGCTTAAAGGAAAAAGTGAAATGAAATCACTTCTTAATTGCAGAATTAGAGTGGAAGACGTTCCTTAGATGGAACATGTTGACTAGTTCAGTTGCTTGGCCACATCCCTTCGTTCGGCTAACACACATTTCACGTTCTCGTTAATTTACAAATGCAAAATGAGGCACAGGCAAAGGAAGTTACATAACTTCGACGGTGATTTTGATAAAGCAATCCCTTAGCAGCACAAAACGAAGCAAAAGAAACCGGTTGTGCTAAGATTCACTTTCTTTACGATTCTGTGGTAATTAAGCTGCTTTTAAGATAGTCTACCTATGAACATGCGAGTACATCTCAAGTACGAGAACAACTAATATTTAATTCTTTTAAATAGTTTCGGAAGTGATATGCCGACCGACAATCCCGTGCCATTAGATGTTAGTGTGTGCTTTTGCTTGTAGCAAACTCCATTGATATCATAGCCAGGCGCACGCGCGCACTTAAGCCAGTTCATAATTGCCTCAAGCAACTCAACCTCATACACCAACACAACAATGCCATCGAACATTAGAATCAGCTAAGCGATGCGCATGCGCATTAGAAGCTGAAGCTGTCGTCAACACCGAG